TTCCTCAACCCTGAAAAACGGAGATTTACTTTGGCCATTTGGAGGTTTTCAGCTTAGCTTTTCACCCTCCCGCACCGTACAGCTTAAAAACTCATTCAGATACTTTGGGAAAGGTCTGGTCATCTTTGAAGCCCCTTGAGTCCCTAATTTTGTTACTTGAGTCACTCGTAAATGACAAAATCCGTGCTGTTTTCTTTGCCCTTCTTGTGTCCTCCTGTGAGGGGCAAGCTTGGATCTCAGCCCCAGCTGTGCAGTGTGGTTCCTGAGATGGAAGGAGCCCGCGCACCCGCTGTGCCTGTTTATCCCCCTCTGGGGCTCTCTGGGGCTTGTTTTGTTTTAGGTTCCTCCCAAGTCACCAGAAAACCTTCTGTCCAAAACGGAGAACCTATCTTTTAACGTGAAGTTCTGTATCTGATACAGTTTTTCTATTTCCTGTAGAGTTTAACATGAGGGAGGTTGGTGGCAGTGCAAAATGTGGGAGACCGTGAGAGCAAAGGCTCAGTTGATTGGCTGTTTGACACAATGTGAGAAATCTCATATTGTGACACTTATCTTGGTGAATTCTATAGAGTCAATCATGTAAGTTTACAAGGGACTGATCGGTTAAACAGAAAGAAGGTTTATTGTACATTGAGATCTAGAATTATTAAGGAATTCAGTCCTTTGTGATCTTTAAGTGCTCTGGGAAGAAAAACAAACAGGAAACCAAATTTTAATCCTAATTTTGCTTGGCCAGAATAAAATTATACCAGAGGGAGTTAATGGTATGGTGCAAATGTGTAATGCTCTTAGGTAATGCTGTTAAGAGTTCTAGCTCCACCATAGCACTCTGTCTGCTCACCGAGATAAACAGGTCTAGCCAGTACTTGGGGCCAGTCTCTTTTTCTCTGAGATTATGTATGAAATAGGAAAGACTTACCAATGCTTGTGTCTCTACCTCCTTTTTTTCTATGTCCTGATACCATCACTTTTTAAAATTTTATCCTCACCTAGGACATGCTTATTGACCTTAAAGGGAGGGGAAGGGAGGGGGAGAGAGGCAGAGAAACATCGATTGGTTGCTTCTCTTATGTACCCTGACTGGGAAAGAACTTGAAACCTAGGCCTGTGCCCTGACTGGGAATTGAACCATCAACCTTTTGGTTTACAGGATGACACTTCGAACAACTGAGCCACACTGGCCAGGGTATAATTGCTTTATTTTTTAAATGGTCCACTTTTCTTTGTGTATATTGATACCATCAGTAGGGTTATAACTGTGTTCATTTATGCCTTCCCTACTTATGATATCTTTATAGTACTATTTCTTGAGTTTATATTTTATATGTCTATATCTATCAATACAGATATCAATAGATAGATAAACATTTCTTATTTTCAGTGTATTTGTAGGGAAACTTTCGTATTGCTTCTGTTTATTCTCAGCAGTAGGCACCAAATAATGTACTTTTGGCCACTGTTGAACTTAGAACCCTGAGTTCTAAGTTTCTAACTCTCCACTTCATCGTTTTCAGTTGTTAGCTTTACTATCTCTTCCATAAATTGTTTGCATGAATGATCCCTTAGTGAGTGGGTATTTATTTGATGTTTTAGGAAATAGTAGCATTGAAGGTTGTGCCAGCGGACTTTACCTTGTAGGTATGAAAAGAATCAGACCGTTCTGAGGCAGCGTACAGAGAGGTGGTAAGAACTGCAGGAGCCTTTTCTCACTGCACAAGTGTAGCTTTATAATTAGTACAGATTGCCTGATTGCAGTGACTTTTTCCGCAAATGCCAAAATGTGTGGGGTTATGGGATGTACAGGTGCTTATCTGAAATTGGGCTTTGAGTTCAGGGACCAGAGATTTTAAATTTTGTACGTGCATAGATTTTTTTTTTAAACTAAACAGGCAATAGCTCTGTTCTTTAAAACATTGTAAATAGATAACTGTGCTACCTTAACAGCATCAACATTTTTATATCTCAGAATTGCTAGAGATGGCTTAGGACACAATTCTGTATAACCTATTATAAACACCCCAGTCCATATCCTTCACCAAGAACAGGACATCAGCTTTTAAATCATTTGTTATCTTACAAGTAGGAAGAGCCATATTGATAACAGAACCTTGGGGTGGTGAACACACAATACAGGCTACAGATGATATGTTGTAGAATTGTGCACCTGAAACCGGGATGATTTTGTTAAACAGTGTCACCCCAATAAATTCAATAAAAAGGGGAAAATAATAAAATCTGAGTACTATTAAGACATAGGTACCAGAAGAAAATGAAGAAATGTCACAAAATACTCAGTCAAGAAAGAATCTGATAGCTAAGTAACAACGAAGTAGCTAGAAATCCTCGTAAAGGAAGGTCCACCTATCTGTCCGCTGTGGTGGTGTTGCTAACAACATTGGTACTAGGAGGTGTCTTTGGAAAGGTTGGTTAGAGCCCCCTTTCTTGTGTAGAAAGCTGAGTTCATTTCATGAGAATGACATCAGCTTCATCTCTATGTGTCTTTTTCTGTCTCCCCACCCATTTCTGTGAGCTCGGAGGAGGAGATGGCCCTCTTCCATTGTCACTTAATCTCTCTATCTGTACCCCTGATTCCATTCTTTCCCACTTGTTTTAGGACCTTGATTTAATGATGTTTCATGATTCAGTCACTTCCTGTTTTAATTGCAGACATTCAAAATTTTTTCTTCTTTTTAAGAGAACATATTGCACAGTAATTGAATTTTTATTCCTTTCAATTTTATTCTTTCCTCTCAGTACCAAACTTTTTATACCTGCAGCCAGGAGACTCAATTCCTGTTCTGTTTCAGTCTTTGATGTTAGATTCTTATTTTCTCTTTTTTTACTAGATGTACTTTGACAAGACTCCTGAATTCTTTTTTGATAGCAACCTGTTCTTTAACCCTTTCTATATTCAAACTTTCTGCTCTCTTGAATATTTTGTTTCTGCTTATGTGCTATCAGTAGATTCTTTTCTGTTCTAACCTCTTTCCAAGTGCTTTTTCATGAGCTTTACTTTCTATCACAAAGGTATGTATTTTTAAGATTTATGTTCTACTTGTTTATTTATCTCAATTAATTTATTGTTACATCCTCAAATAGTCTTTGCATGTCATTAATTACCTGATACATTTGTCTTGCCCATATATCTTATTTTCATTCTGTGCCCAAAGTTTCCGCAGCCAACAGTCTCTCTCCCCTGAATGCCCCATTCATTTTAAATCACTTTAAACTCAATATGGTGAAAAATGAAATCAACTTTCCCTAAGTGGCCTCTTTGCCCTTCTTCAATATTTCTACCATTAATACCACTGTTAGTTCCAGTCTGCTTGATTAGAAACCATTGTACCTTTGTGACTCTCATTTTGTAAGAATTCCTCATAATCAATGTTAGATTTTTTTGTTTCATTCTTCCTTTTTATGTTTTAGATTTACTCCTGTACTAAATTGTTACTAGTGATTTCCCAATCTGGGCCCTTATCATTTATATTATACTTTCTTGCTGAAGTTGAGAATCTTATTCTCATGTTATCCACTTTAGACTAAATTAACAAGCATCTTCATCTAAAACATCACATATTTATCATGTTACTGCTGTATCAGAAAAATTCAGTTTTTTAAATCTGCTACTAGGTGGCATTGAATGCCTATTTAATTGTCAGAGTGTTTTATTGTTCAATCCCATTTTACTTTTCTTTTTTTATTTTTTACCTTTGCTTTACAAAGACCTACAATTGAATCAATGTCACTGACTTTTTGTCACATCATGTACTTTCCTGTTTCTTTACCTTTGAGTACACTGTGCGCTTTGTCGTGGTGCTATTTCTTTTTCATACCTATCTATAGTGATCCTTCTTTAAACTTACATATTAATCAGGACTTATAGTGTATAATCTTTTGTTTTATACATATCACTGGTTTATTTTTATTATATATATATTTTTGTAATTGATGAGCAAGTTTTGTTTTCCCCTTTTGTATTTCAGAGGAAAGAGATATTGTCTTGCATTTAATTCTGGATCCTATATCCTAAGTCAGAGAACCAACTTCAAAACAGAAAGCTTCTGAGAAACAAATAGTGTCATGGCTTGACACCAGAAAAATTTAGAAAATTTTCAAATGATAATTACTAAAACTTCACATTAGAAGAACTGGAATTTGATAATCAGTTTGAGAAACACCAATTGTAAAACAAAATTACAAGGAAACTCAATTCAGGAGAACGATCATGAATATAATTTGGGGAAAATATTTAATCCGAGCTCATACCTTTTTAAACAATTGAGAGTTTCTAAAAGATTAAGATTTCATAATGGTGATACAAATGGTAGGAGCTTAAAGCATAAGTCTGCTTCAATTGATTTTTTAAAAGGCAATTTATAAATGAAAAATAATTTATTAGATATAAATAAGGAACGATTTATATCTAAAGTCGTATTTATTATCGGAACAATTTAAATGTGAGGCCATAGTTCACTAGTAATGGAATCGGAGAAAATTTGTATGAGAGAGAGACATAAATGTAAACTACGTGGTAAAACCTTCAGCCGGAACAGTAACCTTATTCGCCACCAAAGAATGCATACTGGAGAGAAACCGAATGGGTGTCATCACTGTGGGAAAGCTTTTAGCTGTATTTCAGCCCTTACTCAACATCACAGGATTCATACTGGGGAGAAACCTTACGAGTGTAACAAATGTGAGAAAGCCTTTAGCCATAGGTCCTCCCTTAGAAATCATGAGAGAATTCATACTGGAGAAAAGCCCTATCCCTGTCATGAATGTGGGAAAGCTTTTAGTCATATTTCAGCCCTTACTCAACAGCACAGAATTCATACCGGAAAGAAACCATATACATGTATTGAATGTGCAAAAACTTTCAGCCGGAGCACACATCTCATTGAATATCTGGGAATTCATTCTGGGGAGAAATCCTACCAGTGTAAGGAATGTCAAAGTTTTTTTGCCACAGTACATCATTAATTTGACATCAGAGAGCTCACACAGGAGAAAAACCTTCTGAATGTAAGGAATGTGGAAAAGCCTTCAGCCATACCCCAGCCTTCATTCAACACCAGAGAATTCACACTGGAGAGAAACCTTATGAGTGTAATGAATGTGGAAAGGCCTTCAACTGGAGTGCGCATCTTACCCAACACCAGAAAACTCATACCAGAGAGAAGCCCTATGTCGGTAAGGAATGTGGAAAAACCTTCAGCTGAAGCACACACCTTACTGAACATCTAAAAATTCATTCTGGTGAGAAACCCTATCGATGTAATGAATGTCAAAAACTATTCAGCTATAAAACATCATTAATTCGACATCAGAGAATGCATACAGGAGAGAAACCCTACCAATGTATTGAATGTGAGAAATCTTTCAGTTTAAGATCAGCCTTTACTAAACATAAGTGAATACACAATGGGGAGAAATATTGTCAATGTAGTTAATGTGGTGATTTTTTTCTTTTTTTTTGTTGTCATGGTACATCTTTAATCTGACATCAGGAAACTCATTTCAGAACTGAAACCCTATCAGAGTAATGAACTGGGGAAACCCATGACCATAGGTCTTCCCTTATGCCTGAGCACTCACAGTGACAAGAAAACCTAGGATTGTTACGCAAGAAAGACTTTAAGCAGAGTACTCATTCACTCAATATTATAATATTTGTACTGAGAAGAAATACTGCTTGCAATTAACCTGAAAATTGTGTTATCAGTGAGAGGAAAATTTATAGTGGAACTGTGCATCTCCAAAACTAGAGGTTTCTTAAAAAAGATTTTGTTTACTTATTTTTAGAGAGAGGGGAAAGGAAGGAGAAAGATAGGGAGAGAAACACTGATGTTGAGAGAAACATCAATCAGTTGCCTCTTTGCACTCCCCCAATTAGGGACCTGGACTATGCCTCAGGTATGTGCCCTGACCAGGAATCGATCTGGTGACCTTTCTGCTTGCAGGATGCTTCTCAATCCTCTGAGTCACACCAGTCAGGGCTGAAATTTTGTTGTTTTTTTTAAAAACACATATTTAGACAATTATTTGCAGAGATAATTTATTACAAAGGTATATATTTGCTTATAATAAAACCCATTTCAGGTACACGGAAGCTTTAGTGAGATGATGAAAATTATTTACTGTATATATAAACTTTTATCATTTTAGTAATTCTCATGTTATTTTTTCAATGTTTTAAAAAAATTTTCATAATAACTTCATAGGATGATTCACATGGTGTGATATATTTTCTCATGTTAAGGAAACTTAGAGGCTGTGAATGCCAGTTACATTTTCAGTATTGTTGATTATATTTAAATTCTCCTTATAAAAAAGAAACTTTTACAGAACATTGGAATTTTTAAAATTGACAAATTTAATTAATAGTCATAAATACACAGGCATAATGTTCATTATTTCCCATTACTCATGGAATATTTTTAAAAAATGGACTACATATATGCATAGAAAGAAAATCTTGCCCTGGCCAGGTGGCTCAGTTGGTTGTAGCATCATCCTGTACACCAAAAGGTTGCAGGTTTGATTCCCAGTCAGGGCATATAGGTTTTGGGTTTGGGGCACATATGAGAGGCAGGCAATTGACATTTCTCTTGCACACTGATGTTTCTTTCTCTCTCTCTCTCCCTTTCTCTCTCTAAAATCAATAAAAACATCCTCAGATGAAGATTTTTTTTTTTAAAGAAAAATATCAAATAATTATCCCTGAGGGAAATATTCAAGACCTCCATGTTTATTTTTATTTATTTTTACCACAGTGAGATACCAGTAGAAGTAAACAACTAAAAATAGCAGGACAAAATTATTCAGAAATTTGAAAATAATTTTTAAAGTAGTTTTTGAGTTAAAGAATAAACACAGAAAATGCAATTATTAGAAAATAATAAAGATAGAATATAAATTAATTATTCATTTATAAAGATAGGAAACAGAACAATGATATAAATCTAAAGAAAATAAAAGGAATGCATTACTAAAAATAAAAAATTAATGAAATAGGAACAAAAAGTACATTTGATAGTAAATGGAAAATGTGGGTAAAAAAAGGAGGAAAAACAAATCTAGGAGTAAGAAAAAATATAAATACAGAAAAAAGGCAAATTCAGATTTCTAATTCAGTTATTAACAAGTCAAATCTAGCATTTAGTAAAGCCAATACTGAGATTATCATGGGACTTTCAGACTAATTCAAAAGTAGAAATGTACATTAATAAGGAATATTTCAATAGATGCTGTAAAATTATTTGGTAAAATGTTATGAATTTTTATAACATTTCCTTAAATTGATAACAGATATTTACCATAAGCCTACAGTAAATACAGCAAATAAATAAAAGTGCTCTTACCAGAGGCAGGAATGAGACAAATGATGTTTGATGTCCCCACTACTAGTCAACATTGTTCTGAGGTTCCCAGATAATTTAATAAGAGAAAAAATGAGCAGGTGATATTTGAAAAGAATAGCAAAAACATTAGTTGACATAGAAATATGGTAAATAGACAATCTAACTAGCACAACTAAGGTGGAGATTATATGCATATATGTCAACAAGGCACAAGTAAAAAGCTTTGTTTATTTAATTTTTATTGTTGAGACTATTACAGATGTCCCCCATTTCTCCTACTTTGCCCTGGTAAAAAGCTTTCTTAAACAGAAGAAAAAAAAATGAAATAGAAAAAGTAAATTTTTGATATTAACAGAAAAAATCTAAAAATATCAGGAAAAGAATCCCAATAGGTGATTATAGGATAAACCTTTTCTAAAGAACATAGAATATTATAATAGGCAAAGAGATATGATTGGACAGTAAGTATAAAATTTGTTTCAAATTTATCTTTGATTTGTACATTTAATTAAAAATCTCAGTGGAACCTCGGCCGGGTGGCTCCGTTGGTTGGAGTGTCTTTCTGTACACCAAATGGGTTTGATCCTCAGCCAGGGCACATACCTAGGTTCAGGTTCCATCTCTGGTCAGGGTGAATACAGAAAGCAACCTACTGATGTTTCTCTCTAACCACTCCCTAAACATCCTTGGGTAAGGATTTATTTTTTAATCTCAATGGAATTTAAAAAAAATAGCTTTACTGAGATATATTTACATACACATAATTTACTTTTTCAAAAAAATCTTTTTTTCTTTACTTTTTATTTATTTATTTTTGTTTGTTTTAAAGAGAGAGAGGAAGGGAGAGAGAAGAACGCTAATTTGTTGTTCCACCTATTTACTCATTCACTGGTTGATTCTTTTATGTGCCCTGACCAGGGATCTAACCACCATCCTTGGTGTTTCAGGACAATGCTCTAGCCAACTGAGAGCTACCTGGCTGGGGCTATAATTTATTCTTTTAAAGCATACAGTTCAGGGGATTTAGTATATTCAGTTCTGCAACCATTATCACTATCTAATATTAGAACATTTTTACCCCTTCAGAGAGAAACCCCTCATAGCCATTAGCACTAACTACCCGTTGACCTCCCTCCAACTCTGGCAACTACTCATGCACTTTCTCTTTCTGTGCATTTTCCTATTCTGGCTTTCTCATGTCGATAAAACCACAGAATATGTGGCCTTTTTGTGACTTGGCATAATGCTCTCAAGGTTCATCTGCGCCGGAGCACATATCAGTACTTCATTTCTCTTCATGGCCAAATAAAACTCCATTGTATGGATATACCACATTCGGTTATCCATTTGTTAATTCATGGGTGTTTGGGTTGTTTCTGTTTTTTTGGTTATTGTGAATAGTGCCACCATAAACATTCATGGTGCTATTAATTTTTGTGTGGACATGGTTTCAGTTCTCTTGGGAATATACCTAGGAGTGAGTGAGGTTGTTCAGTCAGATTAACTTTATGTTTAACTTTTTCAGGAAATGTGATTCTTTTCTAAGGCACACTAGCCCATATGAAGGCTCTTATCTTTTCACATCCTTGTCAGTACTTGTTTTTTTTTTCTGTGAGAGGCGTATGCATATGTAAATACACATAAATATATATGACTACATAAGCATATTTTCTTTGAAAAAAATTGAAAACTATAAAATGTGTGGTAATGGATTTATAAATAATGTATTTGAAGAAACTTACATTTTTAAAGCATAAAATTTTAAAAATCTGTTCCATATATACAATACAAAAACTATTTCAATTTCTTTTGTATTCTAAATAAAACCTAAATGCTAACATCAATCCCAGAAGATTGAATCTCAAACTCATAACAGAACACAAGTTCTGAATTAATGTGTGGTAAGTGAGTTAAGTAGACCAAAAACTAAGAAATGCTAATAATTGTCACATTCATATGGGCACACTTTACAGTCCAGTTTTAAGCATTTCTTTAGGAGTTTGAAAGTTTCTCACATTAATATAATGATAACAAAATATATTTTAAAATTATATGTCAGGAGAAGGAAATCATTGATGTCAGCAGTAGCATCTCTACTATTCAGTTGAATCATATGAAACTGCCAGTATTCAACCCTTTTTGACCTACAAAATGGACATTTTAAATGATTTAGCTTAATATCTGACATGTTTTTGGCAAATGTGCCCTGAATACAATCCTGGCTGTTTGCTATAAGACTCTAAGTTGGAGAAAGCTACAGAAACTAACAACTAACAAAATTGCCCCACCTCTGATGGAATTAATTAAAAGTTGAAAATTTTTTCCTTGAAAATAGATTCATTTAAAATGATGAGTAGATTTTAACTATTCAACTGTGTTAACATGATTCTTATCAATACAACCCAACAAGCAACTTCGTAAGTGAGTACAGCTAGACGCCATTTTTCTCATTACTTCTTTGGGAGGAAAAGAAAATCTCTCCTCTTCTGCCACCTTGTGGCTACTTCATTTTCCTTATTTGATAGTTTTTAATAAAAAAATCTCAGGAAGACTTGTGAAGACTGCTTGTCCAGAAGTAAAAGTATATGGTTCCTTGGCTGAAAGAACTTACTTCTTTCCAGGCAAAAGGGTAAACTGATAGGAAAACTAGATTTGACTTTAAAAGTGTATATATTTAGTGTCGGCTGCATGCAAGGCCTGGAAAGAAACAGAAAACAGAGGAATGGAACTCAGCTGTTGTTCCTTTGGAGCTCAGTGTCCAGTGAGGGGAGATGGCAAAGATAATTGTCAATGCTCTAAAGCCATGAGCATAAGAAAGAACAGAAGAGAGGGGTTTTTTTGTTTGTTTTTTGTTTTTTTTTGGAAGGGATTCACTCAGAATGCAACTAGCAGGCCTCAAGCTTTCTCGTTACCCATGTAAAGGCTTGTTGTTTTCCCTCCCGCTGGCAGGGCCTTGCCTTCAACTTCCCTGCTATTCCTTTTAATTTTTTAAAAAGATTTTGTTTATTTATTTTTAGAAAGAGGGGAAGGGAGGAAGAGAGGGAGAGAAGCAT